TACAATTGACGCATTCGTATCGGCGGAGGAGTGAACATTGTAATCTACATTTTCTGCCCCTCCCCCTCCTAAGCACGGAGGGCTGGGCACAAGTTTCGATGGTTGGAACATCCGAGGCCAATCTTTCAAGTTTCAAGCGGTCGCTCACACAACAAACCACCAGGCATTCCAATTCGTGCCATGAAGAGGTTCGACTGGCTCGGGTAGAACTGGTGCCAGGAAGTTTCTCCAATGGTTTCGGCTAGAGTCACCCCTTTACAAAGTATGCAAAGAGGAGTTGTCGGGAGGGAATGGGAAATGTCAGAGCGCCGCAAGCATCTGCAAAGGCACGGAAGCGCGACCAGCTTCGTTCACAGTGTGCTTTGTGCTCTCTTCCAGATTCTCTATTGCCTCGCAAAACCGAAGCATGCTAGCTGTGGAGGCCTCGCTGTTAGCTGCTAAAAATTCCCTGGTGGAGAGGCTGCCGTCTCGGACGGAGCAACCTCTCGAGTTTCGAGGATCACTTTTGAGAGGTCGTCAACGGCTGCTGTGAGCTCACGCACGACTGATGTCAGAGCGTTTGCGGCACCCAGGGGTCTGTAAAGTGCGAGCGCCTGGCCCTTTGCTTTCACCAAGCAGGTTGCGCCAGGAGTTTCATGCATGGTCAGTTACCGTGAAGCGACGGCGCATCGCCCCGGGAAGCCGGCAGAAGAACTTAAGGTTTAGGGTTTAGGTTTAGGGTTAAGGGCTTCTTCAGTCCGGCATGCTCTCGACAATGAGGGTGCCAAACGATACAAAGGGGGGATCGAGTAGTGGCCGTGTTGGGCATTAGTGCAGTGAAGCATGCCTGCAAAGTAGCATCGCGGCAGTCTAGACAACGCCAGGTGACGCAGCGGCTGCTCACATACCCAAGCTTGCCTTCCTTCGTGGCATCGGGAGGCCCTGCTTCCCACCGAGTCCTCGCAGAACGCCATCTGCAGGATCACGGCTAGTCCTTGACAGCTTCCGAAGCAGAGACTTTTCGCTTCCCTTCTCAGGGCTCAGCGGTTGTGCTCAGCTTTTTGCTTCCGGGTCTAGCCTGGTGACCAAGCTTCCGGGCCCTTCCTGCTCTTGACTTCTGGGAGTCGGCGATGTCCCGTGGTTCCGAAGCGCTCGATATGCCAGGGTCGGGCCACGGGGGCTCTGAAGACTGCGGGACTAGCTGACGATTCGACGTAGACCAGTCTTCCTGGTGCCACACCCCGCGACGAAGGTAGATGAAGGTAGCTTGCCGAATACCGCTTGTCTAGTTTGACCCGATTAGGTGGTTCCCCATCCTGCTACACAAGACTCCATGGAGTGAGCCTAGTCTGGGAGTAACCTGGTGCAGCCGTGTCTCAAGGGAGTGACCCGTGAAGGTCTCGAGCAATCCACGCGCTCCGGGCCCTTGTAACGATTTCGTTGCCTTCTGCATACCTTGCGTCGCATGTATGCCGTTTGGACCAAAGGGGGCGGATGCGAAGGCAGCCGGCGTGTTCGAGCCGCTCGAGCGCTCGTCATGCGTGGCTTGCTTCTGTCGAAGCTGTATCCCGCCACAGAAAGTGAAGCAGGCAAAGAGGAGTAAGAGTTGGTTGTTGTGCTGGAGCTATTGCGATGCTGGACTGTCTCACCTGGCAGAGTGAGACACAGACGACTGGCAGTTGGCCAAGTGCTCAAGCCTGCTTCGCGAGTTTGGATATGTTCTTCGCCTGTCCCACTGGCTTAGGTTCACGTCTGATGACGAAGGTTGTCCGTCCGAGTCCATCGCGTCCATTTTGTTGGATTGCTGTGCCATGCTCATGCAGCGAGAGCTCTGGGATACTTTAGCCCGGCCTCATTCCGACGTGTTAGGCTTCCTGCAGCAAGTCGTACAAGGGTTGGAGCCAAAAATCGGACAGCGCATCAGGGCTCGAGAAAGCATGCTTCAAAAACCTCCGTTTATGTTCAAGCAGATTCAGATAGAAACACAATCTTTCAGATCATGATCCTGGAGCGTTTACCGATGGGAATGTCATCAAGCTGTGAGAACTAATTATTAGTGCAACCAACCTAGGCTCCAAAGCTTGCAATGGCACTCCCAACAAGCACTTCAATTCTCAAACCGACTGAGGGTTCAGGGCCGGGGTTTAGGGTTTGGGGTTAGGGTTCAGGCTTTTCCCGGGCATAGCTGCAGCTGGGACACACAAACACATGTTGTGTAATGCGCCCGAGCTCCGAACGACTTGCTCCGGGCTCTCAGCTTCATGTCGTCTAGAGTCCTTGACAAGGGTATCGTGCGAGTGCTATGAACAGGCACAGGTTGCCTTGAGTTTAACTTCCATACCGGGCATAGGTCAACAGTTTCATCTCACGTCTAAGTGTGCGGACTTGCTTGGAGTTCGTTTGGTCACTCCTGCATGGAGGCCCGGGGGCGGGGTATAAGTTCTAGAACCTCTACACCGCACGTCCAGTTGTCCTACTCATACATCTATTGTCTCCTATTTACTAAGTCCCTTGAGCCCTAAACCCTAAACCCTAAGTCCCTTGAGCCCTAAACCCTAAACCCTATAAGTCCCTTGAGGCTCCAAGTGCGATGGTGGGGCGTGAAGAGATGGAGCAAGGTGGACTGCAGGTCGAACTGGAACCAGAGCTTCTGCGAGGTATTCCGCTGCACGTGGCGCTGTCGGGTTGGGGAAACTCGGCCCTAAACCCTAAACCCTAAACCCTGAACTTGGGAATACATGGGATTTATTTCGGGGGTTTACCGGCTTTGGAGGGTTTTGGATCTGGCCTCGAGCCTAGGACGCCGTTGCATGTCCTTCATGATCTTTTTGCAGGAGCACTTGCGTAAATATCGTGGGCTCTGAAAAAGCGCAGCCCAGGAAAGCATTGGGCAGACAATGGCAGCGGTAGCATCGGGACAGACGCGGACGCCAGCCAGAGCCCTGGCCTCTCTCGGGGATCTGTTTTGCTTTTTGGCAGTTGGGGTTCTCCGAAACATGCTGGATCCGAGCCCCGAAGGAAGGATCTCGTTCTGAGTCTTGTTTGTTGCTTCTTGGTTGGTAGGATTTGCCTTCTAGGCCCGAACAAATACACTGTTTCCCTGTGACGACGGAGCCAGAACCCCAAGCCCTAAAACCCCGAAGTTCCCAAAGCCTAAACCCTCAAGCCCTAAACCCTAAAACCCCGAAGCCCTAAACCCTAAACCCTAAACCCTCTCAAGCCCTAAACCCTAAAACCCCGAAGCCCAGGAGCAGCTACAGCTTGAGCCGGGCCACCCAGGACTTCGACAACTTCCTCAGTCATGACTGGGAGACGTCGCGCTGGGAGACTGGGCTCTTGTTCAGGATCTCACGGTTTAGAACTTCCTAGGTAGTATTAGGGAGACCCCTAAAGGGGACCCTTCCAAACCCTACTTCTGGCTCTCTTAAAGGGGACCTTGTTGAGAGGGTCTCTATCCCCAAGGGTCCCCCTAATCCTAACTCCCAGAACTTAGGGTAAGGGTTTAGGGTTTAGGGTTGAACCCCATATTCCTGCTGTGTGTGCCCAAAAAGTGTAGGGCTACTCGTGTAGGAAGCCCAATGATTTTTACCATAGATCCCCTATTATGGTAACTTACGCTAAATTCCTTCATACGAGCCCAGGAGAAGCTGCTTGCAATGATGCTTCTCTTCAACACCAAGCCTGCCGCTCGGGTTGCGTCGGTCGCTTGCGTTCTAACCGCTGCTGCATCCATCTTCGCTGGACGCATTGTCCAGGTGGGAGGTCCCTAAAATAAGGGGTACCCAATTTTTGGGTCCTTATCTTATCGTTCGGATCCTACTATTTAGGGTACTATATTAGGGTCCCCTATTTTCGGAAACCCCCAGGTGTTATTACCAGTGGTCAGCTACTTCTGCTTCTGGACCGCCCTTTGTTTCGCACAGCGGGGCTTTGCGATGATCTCGAGGCCGAGGATGGTCTTCTTGGATAAGCTATGCATTTCGCAGGACGACGCCGTGCTGAAGCAAAAGGGCATTTTGGGTTTGGCCGCCTTCCTGGACCGCTCAAAGAAGCTCACGATTCTGTGGAGCCCGCGCTATTTTTCAAGGCTTTGGTGTTGCTATGAATTAGCCACGTTCCTCCGGCATTCCACCCGACAGTCGATTGAGATCATGCCCACGAAGCTGGCTGTCTTGTTCTTCGGCTTGTTCTGCTCCACGCAGTTTATATCCCTGCTGTACGTGCTCGCGGCGGCGGTCTTGGCAAATCAAGCTGTTGGGCAAAGCCAACGGATTGTGGAAATGGTAACCATTACCAGCATCACGTCGATTGCCTTTCTACTTCCTGCTGTTCTGTGCCTGCATGCAGGCATTGGTGTCGCAGGGAGCATGGGGGAACTCGAAAATCAACTTCGCGCTTTTCGAATTCAGAACTGCAGATGCTTTTGCTGCTCGGTGGACCATATCCATCCGGAAACAAAAGCACCACTGCCCTGTGATCGAGAATTGATCTTGGAGGCCGTGAAGAAGTGGTATTTTGAAGACATATCTTCTCCTCAGGAGAAGGCCTCCGACGAACCCCACTGGGAGAAGTTCAACCAGACGGCGCAGCAAGAGCTTCTGCCACTAGTCTTGGATTCGGTCGGCACCGGCCTGTGCATGTCCTACTTTTCAGCCTTGGTGTGTGCGGCTAGCCTACCCACTCTCGTATTTTGGCTGCCCACCGTGTACATCGAGGGCGCACACTATTTCGAGGGCTCTCATCTCATGGTTTGGTGGGTCCGTTGCTGCGTGCACTGGGCCATCTTCCCTCTTGGCAGCCTCTGGTATTTCCAAGTCTACTGGTGGCTGTGTCTGCTTGGCGTCCGCGCAGAGAAGTGCTGGCAAGGAAAGCGGAAATTGATTTCGTGCCTCTTGCTGCTTCCTCTGTCCTTCTTTGGTCTTGGGCCAATATATGTCGTGGAATTCACCAGGGCAGCCACGGAGACCCCGAGCTTGCTTCCGGTGCTTCCCTTCTCCTTACTGCTGGCTGCGGTGTTTTCACAGAGATGTCGGCTTCCTGGCGCCCGGTCCACTGATCGCCGGACTTCGGCCCAGCCGGCGGAGCAGAAGAAGGAAGCCAACGAGGTCGTTGACGCAACCAGCCATGCAAATCAACCCCGTTGCGAGACGGCCGCGGACGGGGATCTGGTGAGTTGGACCTTCTGACTACGGAGACGTGAGCCATGGCACCCTTGGAGTGCGCAGTTCTAAACTCGGGTGCTCATAATGTGCTTGCCCACGGAGTTGGGAAGTCAACTGCCCAATCCCAATGTGGTTAGTTCTCTAAACCAGGGTCCCCTTTTTGGGTCCCCCATATAGTACGGCACCCTTATAAAAGGGATCCAAAAAAGGGATCCTGATTTTGAGAACTACCAATGTATCACGCTTCAAAGCTTTTCAAGAAGCCGCGGTCCTTGCTGTTGTCTTGATACTTTGAGCAAACCTTTCAGCAAACAGACTTTTTCGGTATAGCACCAAAGACAGCAATGCCTTGGATTCCTGGAACTCCACTCTTGACCCATCTGAAGATGCGGTCGACGATGTGCTCGTTTTTTTGCCTTTCAGGCTTCAGGCCTGCCGTTGTTTCACCGCGACTTTACATGGAGTGGTGCGAGCAAGAAGCGCCAGTTGCTGAATCGCCTTTTCAAACACGTGAAACGTGACTGCAAAAGGAACACCAAGAATCCATGAAGATGGAGACCTGACAAGAAGACTGGGATGGCCGTTGCGAAGACGAAAGATCCAGTTGGAAGGTCTTAATCCGGCAACTGGAGGGGTAAGGCTGTGCAAATTCAGCACTTCTTGCAGCACGTGTTTGACAGGAGGTGTGCGCACTAAGTCAGAGAGAGTTGAGGGAGTGGGAAGTAGCTCTGGCAGAACTCGCCACACTGCAGAGGCCCTCAAGGATTCGCCTGCCGGGCTTAGGAGCTTGGGGGGGCTCGGGATCTAGAGTACTATGCTTTCAGGTTTGAGGGTTTCGGGCTTTGTATGTGGGTAGTTTTCTATATTAGGGTCTCTTTTAGAGTCCTTCTTAAAAGGGGTGCCGTACTATATTGGGGACCTAAAAGGGGACCCTTAATTTAGATAACCACCCATGTCTTGCCTTTGGATGAGAGACCCATGGCCGCAGCCGTATTCGGGCTTGGAGAGTGCCTTTTCCCGATTGGCTCCGAGAAGATGCCGGCATCTCAGGAACCCTCTTGCCCCTTATGAACCCTAAGCCCTAAACCTCAAAAACCCTAAACCTTAAACCTTATCAACCCTACACCTTAAAAGCCCTAAACCTTAAACCTTATAAACTTATAAACCCCAAAACCTTATAAACCCTAAACCTTATAAACCTTAAACCCTAAACCCTTAACCTTAGAAGCCCTAAACCCTGTAAACCCTGAGCCTTAAACCCTAATCTCTAAACTCAAAGAACCCTAAACCTTACAAACCCTAAACCTGACAACCTAAACCCTAAACCCTAAACCTTATAAACCCCAAACCCTGAAAACCCTAAACCTTAAACCCTAAACCTTAAACGCTAAGCCTTATAAAACCCTAAACCCTAAACCTTATACACCCTAAACCCTAAACCTTACAAACCCTGAACCCTAAACCTTACAAGCCCTAAACCCTAAAGCCTATAAACCCTGACTCCGAAACCCTGCACTCCTCGGGCCCAAAAGTTTGAAACGCTCCTAAGCCACCCCGAAAAAAGCCCTGAACAAAAAGCCACCCGACACAGCGCCACGCCCCAACGCCCCCACGAGTCGCCTGATTTGGGTTTAGGGTTTTACCCTAAACCCTACACCTTTAAACCCTAAACCCGTTTAGGGTTTACCCTAAACCCTACACCCTAAACCCTAAACCCTAAACCTTGAACCTTACACCCTAAACCCTAAACCCTAAACCCTCAAGAAAGAAATAAATAGAAATTGCTTGTTACTGTTGGCTATTCGGAAAACCTTTTTTCGGTGCACACACACCTTTCCATTTTCGAATTCCTTTTCGAATAAACCAATTTCAGTTTCATTTACGAATTTTCAGCTGCCAGCCCATCCAGCCAGCCCACCCAGCCCAGCTACCAGCCCAGCCCAGCCCCGCCCCAGCCCAGCCAACCCCCCAGCCCACCAGTCCACCAGCTGCTCCAGCCCACACAGCCTCCCAGCCCACCAGCCCACCAACCACGGCTCCAAGCACAGTTTGCCC